TCTGCCTCCGCCAAGTCGAAGCGCATGTTGTTCGCATAGTATAGCGTGGACCTTCTTGCTCTGAAAGCGGAATGATTTCGTATACCGGGTGGACTGAGTGTTTCCGACATTTAGTTTTCAAGAAATTTCTCTACAAGTAAACTTCAGAACTCCTTGGTGACTACCCTTTTCCATTTTGTGTGGTATTTGCATGACTTTTGCAGCGCGCCAAGAAGATCTCAAAATTTTAACCCACAAATGCAAATGTTGTTCCTACCCTCTGCCGTTTTGTGTGGTGTTTGCAGGACTGTTGCAGGGCGCCAAAAGGATCTCGACAAATTTTGACCCACAAATGTTGTTCTTAACCTCTGCAGTTTTGTGTGGTATTTGCGTAAGAGAATAAGCCTGCCAACAAACACATGGAACTCAAAAATCCAATCACATACGAAGAGCAGCTTGATTTGGCTAAATCTTGCCCGAAGGCTGCCCGGCAAAATATGGCCAAATCGTACGCGATGAGAAATGCGCGGCTAAATTTCGCAGAGCAGCCTTCGGGCAAGATTTGACCAAATCAGGCCGCGCATTTCTCATCGGATACGACGAGCAGTCCGATTTGGCCAAATTTTGCCCAAAGGCTGCCCGGCAAAATTTGGCTAAATAGGGCTGCTCGTCGTACGCGATGAGAAATGCGCAGCTCGACTTGGCCAAATTTTGCCTGGCAGCCTTCAAGCAAAATTTGGTCAAATCGAGCTGCGCATTTTTCCTCGCGTACGACGAGCAGCCCGATTTGGCTAAATTTTTCCCGAAGGCTGCCCGGCAACATTTGGCTAAATCGGGCTGCTCGTCGTACGCGATGAGAAATGCGTAGCTCGATTTGGCCAAATTTTGCCTGGCAGCCTTCAAGCAAAATTTGGCCAAATCGAGCTGCGCATTTCTCCTCGCGTACGAGGAGCAGCTCGATTTGGCCAAATTTTGCCCGAAGGCTGCCCGGCAAAATTTGGCCAAATCGGGCTGCTCGTCGTACGCGATGATAAATGCGTAGCTCGATTTGGCCAAATTTTGTCTGGCAGCCTTCAAGCAAAATTTGGCCAAATCGAGCTGCGCATTTCTCCTCGCGTACGAGGAGCAGCTCGATTTGGCCAAATTTTGCCCGAAGGCTGCCCGGCAAAATTTGGCCAAATCGGGCTGCTCGTCGTACGCGATGAGAAATGCGTAGCTCGATTTGGCCAAATTTTGCCTGGCAGCCTTCAAGCAAATTTTGGCCAAATCGAGCTGCGCATTTCTCCTCGCGTACGAGGAGCAGCTCGATTTGGCCAAATTTTGCCCGAAGGCTGCCCGGCAAAATTTGGCCAAATCGGGCTGCTCGTCGTACGCGATGAGAAATGCGTAGCTCGATTTGGCCAAATTTTGCCAGAGTCATGCTTATGCAAACTTGAACCTAAAATCTTAGGCATCAGGGCTTGCGATGTAGCGCTTGCGGTGAAAACTTCAACTCAAAATGTTATTATCACAATTATGATAATTGTACTTGGGAGCTTAAAGTTATCATAATTATGATAACTCTGCTTGGGGAGCTTAGAGTTATCATAATTATGATAACTCATCTTGGGGAGCCTGTAGTTATCATAATTATGATAACTCAGCTTGGGGAGCCTAAAGTTATCATAATTATGATAACTCAGCTTGGGGAGCCTGAAGTTATCATAATTATGATAACTCAGCTTGGGGAGCCTAAAGTTATCATAATTATGATAATTCAGCTTGGGGAGCCTGAAGTTATCATAATTATGATAAATCGGCTTGGTGCCTAAAGTTATCATAACTATGATAACTCAGGCTAAGGAATGCAATGTTATCACAATTATATTAATTAAAAATATCCTGGCGAAATTCTTCTAAAGGCTTGATTTAAATTATTTAAATCATTTAAATGCTCGAAAACGCTTTTCACAATTCAAAGAATTTAAGCAATTTAAAACCCTTTGGAGAGCTTCCACAGGAAACCTTAATATTTAAATTAATTTAAATAATTTAAATAAGGCGATTTTAATTTATTTAAATTATTTAAATCCCCGAAAACCCTTTTGACAATTTAAATAATTTAAATAATTTAAATCCTCTGGAGAGCTTCTCCAGGAAACCCCAATATTTAAATTAATTTAAATAATTTAAATAATTTAAATAATTTAAATAATTTAAATAGGGCCATTTAATTTATTTAAATTATTTAAATCCCCGAAAACCCTTTTGACAGTTTAAATAATTTAAATAAATTAAATGGCCCTATTTAAATTATTTAAATTATTTAAATTATTTAAATTATTTAAATTATTTAAATTATTTAAATTAATTTAAATATTTGGATTTCCTGGTGAAGTCCTTACAAAGGCTCGATTTAAATTATTTAAATTATTTAAATTATTTAAATCCCCGAAAACCCTTTTGACAATTTAAATAATTTAAATAATTTAAATCCTCTGGAGAGCTTCCCCAGGAAACCCCAATATTTAAATTAATTTAA